CAGCGTCCCTGTGACAGCACTGTACCAGAGGTGACCTTGGCAGGGCAGTGCGCGGCCCTGGCCTCCCACGTGGCAGAGGTAGATTAGGTCTGCCTGACAACCTTACCTAATCTAGGGGGCTAGTGCAGAGGCCCCGTCCTGGGTTTGGGCACGTGGCAGACCAGGTGCGGCCGAGCTGGGCCTTGGCCCCAGGCCCCGGGTAGCCGTCCTGGGCCGCGCTACTAGGGCTCCTGGAGGGGGCAAGCGTCCATCCCGAAGAGGTCGGGGATAATCCCCCTGAGTGCGGGATACCGACTATTCGGGACAAGTTCCGAAACGTACGGAGGTCGGACTCCCTCGCAGGTATAAATGATAGCACACATCAACTGTACAAGGTACGCTCACTATTGGCAAATTACTCCGGACCGCTTGTGCTTCCCGTGAACCACACTCACCGGAAAATTAACTTGACCGTCGGAGTGCCCTCGGGGACCACCCTCGGGCCCCCCTTTGTTAGCTCGTTCTTATCTGTTTTGCAGGCTTGGGACCAACTCTGCCATCAGCACCCCGAGCTGATCAGGTCAGCTCGGTCCGGGGAAGCTCAGCGCTTTTCTTCAGGGCCCAACAATCTTTGCAACCTCCACTCTTACAAGCATTTTGGATTGGCAAACAAGAAGACAGTGACCATTCAACCAGGAGGCAAAGATCAGTCTGTGTTGCTTGCTACAACAAAGACCAAGAAACAGAACAGGCCCGCAGCTTTGTATAACAAGTCTGTCATGAAGAAGGAGTTCCGTCGAATGGCCAAGGCTGTTACAAACCAGGTGGCAGATAACAGGCCTGATCTGAAGAAGGCTGCTCTGATACCATGACAAAGAACGGTAGTTTTATTCATTAGAAAAAAAACTATTTATCCGTTCGGATTGAGTGTTTTTGCGCCTGTTTATGAAAAACTGTTTTTCACATTCCAAATGTTACAGTAAATGTGTATATTTCAATCAAAAACAACATCAAATATATTTCAATTATGCATATTTAATTTGTATATTTTAATAAGTATATTTCAATTTGTATATTTTAATTTTGTATTTTAATATGTATATTTCAATTATATTTTAATATATTTTAATTATATATTTTAATACGTATATTTCAATTACGTATTTTAATATGTATATTTCACTTATGTATATTATATATATTATATTAATATAAATATATTTATTTCAATTATGTATAATATTATATATACTATATCAATTGAAATAAATATTATATATTTATATAAATACATTTATTTATATATAAATTTGTAAATAAATTTGTACAATTTTGTTTTATAATATATATTAATATGTATATTATATATAAATTATATTAATATTAATTTATATTATATATTATAAATTTCTAATATTATATATTTATACATACATATTATAAATATTTTATTTTATTTAAAATATATTTTTATATATTTATAATATATTTACATAAATATTATATGTTATATAAATTATATATAATATAATATATAATATTTTATACATTTATACATAATATATAAATATTTATGTATATTTATAATATACATTTATATTATGTATTATATATAATATAATATATTTATACATTTATGTTAATATACATAATATTAATTTTACATTTATACATAATATTAATACATGTATACATATATATTAATTATATTAATACATTTCAATATAATATTAATACATATTTATAATATATTCATTTATACATTTATATAATATTCATTTATAATTTATACATTTTTAATAATATACACTTATACATTTAAATATACATTTATATTATGTATTATATTATATATAATACATTTATACATTTATATTAATATACATAATATTAATTTTGCATTTATATATAATATTAATACATATATACATTTATATTAATTATATAAATACATTTATACATAGTATTATTATATATCTATAATATATTAATTTATACATTTATAACATTCATTTATAATTTATACATTTATAATAATATACACTTACACATTTATAAATATATTTATATTATGTATTATATATAATATAATAAATTTATATATTTTTATATGAATATATAAATATATTTATTTATAAATATCTATAAATGTATTATAAATGCATAAATCTATATTTATATAAAAATTATAATTTATACATTTATACGTTTATATAATATTCATCTATAATTTATGCATTTATAATAATATACATTTATAGATTTGTAAATATAAATGTATTATAAATGCATAAATGTATATTTATATAAAAATATAAAAATTATAATATTCTAAAAATATTCAAAAATGTGTTTCAAAAATACCTCTAAAATAATCCAAAAAATTTACAGTAAAAGTTTTTCATATAGTTTTTGAAAAACAACCCCAAAAACAACTAATCCAAACGGACTTGTTTTTCAAATTCGAAATGCTACAGTGGTGTTTTTGAAAAATAACCCCAAAAATAGCTAATCCAAACGGAGCCAAAATTTTTGCTAAACAGAATTTGACAAGATATGTTGGTAAATTTTGCATTTTTGTCTAGGGTAGATTTTCTGACCGTGAACAGTGCAATACAGAATATTGAGATAATGGAAGCTAAATGCTTCACAACATATTGTCTCCAGAAATTAGACACTTATTGACAAAATAAGTTCAGAGTCATATGAGGCAGAAGCAAAGGCAAACATCAATTAAGAGTTGAACTCATAAAAGATGTGACATTTTATCTCAAATGTGGGTTTAACTACAGGTGTTCCTTAGAGTAGCTGACTTTGTCCATGTAAATTTACAGCGTCCCTGTGACAGCACTGTACCAGAGGTGACCTTGGCAGGGCAGTGCGCGGCCCTGGCCTCCCACGTGGCAGAGGTAGATTAGGTCTGCCTGACAACCTTACCTAATCTAGGGGGCTAGTGCAGAGGCCCCGTCCTGGGTTTGGGCACGTGGCAGACCAGGTGCGGCCGAGCTGGGCCTTGGCCCCAGGCCCCGGGTAGCCGTCCTGGGCCGCGCTACTAGGGCTCCTGGAGGGGGCAAGCGTCCATCCCGAAGAGGTCGGGGATAATCCCCCTGAGTGCGGGATACCGACTATTCGGGACAAGTTCCGAAACGTACGGAGGTCGGACTCCCTCGCAGGTATAAATGATAGCACACATCAACTGTACAAGGTACGCTCACTATTGGCAAATTACTCCGGACCGCTTGTGCTTCCCGTGAACCACACTCACCGGAAAATTAACTTGACCGTCGGAGTGCCCTCGGGGACCACCCTCGGGCCCCCCTTTGTTAGCTCGTTCTTATCTGTTTTGCAGGCTTGGGACCAACTCTGCCATCAGCACCCCGAGCTGATCAGGTCAGCTCGGTCCGGGGAAGCTCAGCGCTTTTCTTCAGGGCCCAACAATCTTTGCAACCTCCACTCTTACAAGCATTTTGGATTGGCAAACAAGAAGACAGTGACCATTCAACCAGGAGGCAAAGATCAGTCTGTGTTGCTTGCTACAACAAAGACCAAGAAACAGAACAGGCCCGCAGCTTTGTATAACAAGTCTGTCATGAAGAAGGAGTTCCGTCGAATGGCCAAGGCTGTTACAAACCAGGTGGCAGATAACAGGCCTGATCTGAAGAAGGCTGCTCTGATACCATGACAAAGAACGGTAGTTTTATTCATTAGAAAAAAAACTATTTATCCGTTCGGATTGAGTGTTTTTGCGCCTGTTTATGAAAAACTGTTTTTCACATTCCAAATGTTACAGTAAATGTGTATATTTCAATCAAAAACAACATCAAATATATTTCAATTATGCATATTTAATTTGTATATTTTAATAAGTATATTTCAATTTGTATATTTTAATTTTGTATTTTAATATGTATATTTCAATTATATTTTAATATATTTTAATTATATATTTTAATACGTATATTTCAATTACGTATTTTAATATGTATATTTCACTTATGTATATTATATATATTATATTAATATAAATATATTTATTTCAATTATGTATAATATTATATATACTATATCAATTGAAATAAATATTATATATTTATATAAATACATTTATTTATATATAAATTTGTAAATAAATTTGTACAATTTTGTTTTATAATATATATTAATATGTATATTATATATAAATTATATTAATATTAATTTATATTATATATTATAAATTTCTAATATTATATATTTATACATACATATTATAAATATTTTATTTTATTTAAAATATATTTTTATATATTTATAATATATTTACATAAATATTATATGTTATATAAATTATATATAATATAATATATAATATTTTATACATTTATACATAATATATAAATATTTATGTATATTTATAATATACATTTATATTATGTATTATATATAATATAATATATTTATACATTTATGTTAATATACATAATATTAATTTTACATTTATACATAATATTAATACATGTATACATATATATTAATTATATTAATACATTTCAATATAATATTAATACATATTTATAATATATTCATTTATACATTTATATAATATTCATTTATAATTTATACATTTTTAATAATATACACTTATACATTTAAATATACATTTATATTATGTATTATATTATATATAATACATTTATACATTTATATTAATATACATAATATTAATTTTGCATTTATATATAATATTAATACATATATACATTTATATTAATTATATAAATACATTTATACATAGTATTATTATATATCTATAATATATTAATTTATACATTTATAACATTCATTTATAATTTATACATTTATAATAATATACACTTACACATTTATAAATATATTTATATTATGTATTATATATAATATAATAAATTTATATATTTTTATATGAATATATAAATATATTTATTTATAAATATCTATAAATGTATTATAAATGCATAAATCTATATTTATATAAAAATTATAATTTATACATTTATACGTTTATATAATATTCATCTATAATTTATGCATTTATAATAATATACATTTATAGATTTGTAAATATAAATGTATTATAAATGCATAAATGTATATTTATATAAAAATATAAAAATTATAATATTCTAAAAATATTCAAAAATGTGTTTCAAAAATACCTCTAAAATAATCCAAAAAATTTACAGTAAAAGTTTTTCATATAGTTTTTGAAAAACAACCCCAAAAACAACTAATCCAAACGGACTTGTTTTTCAAATTCGAAATGCTACAGTGGTGTTTTTGAAAAATAACCCCAAAAATAGCTAATCCAAACGGAGCCAAAATTTTTGCTAAACAGAATTTGACAAGATATGTTGGTAAATTTTGCATTTTTGTCTAGGGTAGATTTTCTGACCGTGAACAGTGCAATACAGAATATTGAGATAATGGAAGCTAAATGCTTCACAACATATTGTCTCCAGAAATTAGACACTTATTGACAAAATAAGTTCAGAGTCATATGAGGCAGAAGCAAAGGCAAACATCAATTAAGAGTTGAACTCATAAAAGATGTGACATTTTATCTCAAATGTGGGTTTAACTACAGGTGTTCCTTAGAGTAGCTGACTTTGTCCATGTAAATTTAACAATTTGAAATTTGATAGCGTTCTTAATTGACGTATAAATTGTGCCAATTCTCTATTTTTTAAGTAAATAATTGTGTTATCGGGTGGATTCAACTTATGTTTCATATTTTGATCGTGTCTTGGGAATTTGAGATGGAATGAGCTTAAAAGAATCGCTAGAGAGTATTTATTATTATAAAGTGTGGGCATGTATTAAAGTACTTGCCAAAATTCAGAAGTTGCGGGACCGA